CTTCAACTTCCTCGGCCACAATTCAGGCGCAAATGAACGACTTTCTTTAAGAACATAGCTACTGTGTGTATTGATGTATTGATTAATATTTACCTTTTGAATGTTTAAATAAAATAATCGAATATATCTGGAATGAGAAACCTCTCACTTCATGGCACTCAACGGGTTACAAATTTTCACTAATCAAAGCAATCACCGAAGTTTTACTCATTTCTGTATGCTTGAGGTCAGGACATCTGCCTACAATTTTGCAGAAAACTGATTATTCAGCGCATGGAAGATACCAAGCTTTCATATTTTGGGGCCTTTTGGCCTACCACAGATAGACTCAAAAAAGTGAACAATTTTGGATTTCCATCTTTTCTTTTCGCAAGTCCACATCGTTGAAGTTTTTTGTATACGAGCGTTTACTACTGGCTTGCATCTACAAATTATGTTGCTTAGCAGCCACAAGAACAAAACTTGAAGAAAGTTATAATCCCTCAAAGACGAGTCTTTCAGAAGAAAAAGTTTTGATTTTTTGGAGCATGGTTTTCTTCCCGTTAGTGGTATCACTGTGCGTAGGTCAAAAAAGGTTGTCTGCTACTAATGGTCCTGATCGCATTCAAAAATATGAGTATTGGACAAAGTCATAGCTTTTCAAAGTATTATTTTGCAAACCTGACATTATTTTTTTAACAACCTAATATAACCTATACAATCGTTTCAAGTGTGTAATTACAACCAAACGATTTATCTCGAACAAAATACACATCATAAATAAACTATACAAGCGGACACCCGTAATTCTGGAAATCAAGTGCGAAGGGTATGACAAAAAAGGTTAATACATTGACATTTCGACCCGAATGAGAAATGCACGCTGCACGGCTCACAGCCGGAAATTACCGAACATGTTGATGAGAGAATGTCTTCTTTCAGTTATGTTGAGATCGTTTTCTTGAGCAGACCCAGCCATTATCATAGCAGATCTAAAGTTACAACAGGTACTGGTTGTAATATACTTGAATCAATCAATTACCTATGTACGAGCTCTCTGAGATTGGCCGCTTTTAACTCTCGATTGAGTCGCCTCATCATGATTACGTGAGATAGATACGTGTAGAGAATGAATCCAATCACTGATCCTAGTATCACAAATGACATCACTTGTGATTTTGTGGTGAGCCTGTAGAATAGGGCATAAATGTTTACAGAAGGTTCGGAAACTACTACATTTCTAATTTTTTTCAAACTCATTGTCGCTTTCTTTATTTTTGTTCTGATGAGTGAAACATGGTAGAACACTTCTAAGTTTTAGCCTGTACTTTGGGCTCGCCTTGCTTGGCAAGTTGTTCATGAGATATGTCGAGTCATTCATAACTTATGTATGTACTGCACACTACGCGCTTCATGGTCCTGTATTCCTTGTAAGTCGCCATTTCTTCTTATTTGCCGCCTATTCCAAAGTTTTGTGTATGAGTACATTCATGAAAACACGAGTGATCATTTTTCTGTAAGAGGATGCATCAAAACGTTTGCGTAATAGGCTTTCATTCGTTATCGATCGATATCGATGTGATCGTCTTTGGCGATTGTATGAGCTACGAGGATGGGAGTTGGCAGAATGAAGTGATTGAGCATGCTAAACTTTGAAAGTAACATTAATTTGAGGTGATACTCATTGCGTTGATCGATTTTACTATTTTTCTGTGCAACGTTCGAGTTGACGAGGAGATGGTCAGAAACTAAACCAGCCATTCCAAACAAGCTGTAGATCGTCGGGCTCGCCTTCAAACGCTGATTTCGAGTATTCATTATCCGCAGAGCGATTACGTGGGAGGAGTGAGGGTTCAGATATGAGATACTCGAGTTGTAACGAATTTAGTTTTTTGAAAGGCAGCCTGATAGCACGGATTTC